ATTATCTGTTACCTGTAAGTTTTGCCTCATTTTACAAACTTCTTGTCTCAGTTGCTAAGTGGCTCATTGCAGCTGTTAAGTTAGTAACATGATTGTTAAGTGAACCTGGCTTCCCCATTGAATTTGTTTGTCAGAAGGTCGCAAAAGCTGAGCATGTGATCCCAGGACACTGCAACCGTCATAAATATGAGCCAAGTTACCTGAATTTTGATTGTATGACCATGGAGATGCTGCAACAGTCGTAAGTGTGAAAAACGGTCATACGTCATTTTTTTCACTACATTGAAGGGTCACTAAATGGACTGTTGTAAGTCAAGGACTACCTGTACATTCTATAAGCAAACAAATGCTTTGCTCACAGATAACTTGTATGTGCACTAATGGTTCCAAATTCATCTTGATGACATCTCAGATGCAATTGGGAAATATCCCTGCTTGAAATTCTGGAGATCTGCGGCTGGGTTAGATGAGCTTAAGAGTCAATTTGGGGCAATTAAAAAGATCAACATTCAAAGCAATTACAACACATTTCCTTTGAAAGCAACGGTTAATACGGCCATGTGAGAAATTGCAGCTTCAGTTAAAAGTGCTGCAATGCAACTGCCCCCCCCCCCCCCAGAGCTTTGACCACAATAAATGTGTCACCAAACTTTTGAGGCATTGATCCCCAACCCATTCCTAGGTTTGCACAATCCATTGAAATTGATTTAAAATGTTATCTGCTTTTGAGATTTGCAAAATACGTTTTATTACAAATTAATAAAATGGGCCAGATGCATATAAAGTATTTAATTACACAAAAATAAGTAAAGAATTGCCAACCATGACATGCTCTATGAATGTAGCTATTGGGCTTACCGTTGTCCTTCAGCACCTGCATGTATTCTATTTCTGAGTTAGTGAGATGCAGACAAGAGTTTCTAAATTAAGGACCCTAGTTTGCAAACCCACAGAACTGGTAAATTCAGAATTCATTTTAATGTATTACATAATAGAATAGAAAACAGGGCACAGAATAGAAGGCACTTGTTGAATTTTGGACATTGTGTCCAAATTGTCCAGTATTAATACCATTAGCAAGGAATGCTGCAAGTAACATGGGCACAATTAAGGTTGGTAACTAAGGGGTCATCAGGCCTCTCCCATCTGAATCACTACTCCAGATCTATTCTAATGGTAGCCTCTGGGTTTGTTTGTTTTTTGCCAAAAACCAGAAGTAAATGTTGGAAGCTGGTGAAACATATTGCAAATTGTGGTCAAGCAACTGCAGGATGTTGCAAATGCTATAAAGGTGAGCTGGTTGCCAAATATTCAAAAAGCGATCACGTGACCATGGGGTGTGTATAATGTTTGGCTGCCACAATTCTGAAAGCAGGTCATAAGTAGCTCTGGGGAGGTCTGTCAAGTAAGTAGACAACTACCAGTATGGGAAAGATGAACAGCATACTACTAAGTAGCTCAAAAATTTCAGCCTGTGTGAATAGAGAAAGTGGTAATTGCTTTCACCTGCTTGTCTTTGTTTGTGTCCCACAGAGGAATATGCCATGTAAATGTTATGAAGCACTGCCAAATTCTCCTATATCACACTCCATAGGATATTTCTGGACCCCATTACTGCTTTCTGCTAGTATTTTCTCATAGCACTTAAAGATTTCAGGTATTTGGAAGCTGCAAAGAAATTAAAAACCCTTCTGCTGGCTTCCTCTTCTAACCCAAGTGCCCAAAGACCAGTAAAGCTGGTGAAGAATTCTGGGAGTTGAAGTCCTGTAAAGTTGCCAAGGTTGGGTACCCCTGTCCTAGAGGAAAGGTGGGATGTAAATCTACCATCACCATCAGGGCAACTGAATAATTGCATTCAGCCCCCACCAACCTCTTCCGAAAAGAAGCAAATTTCTGATAGGAACACTTGATTTTTTTTTGTGAAAATAGACTTTAATATAATAAATTATTTTTTAAATAAAAACATAGCTCATCCAACGTCCCTTCTCAATAATCCATACTGAACAAAACAAGATGATTCTTTCTCCCAACAAACATGCAGAGGTTCATTGGCTGCAAGAATGGAGGACACATTTATTAAAACACGCACACACAAATCTCTCGGTCATGAAATAGGAATAAGGGGTTCCCCTTCCCACAGGCTAGGCACATGGGCTGGCACAGTGTCCACCGATCCTCACCATTAGAGCTGCTTAGTTCAGCAGCTGGAAATCTTACAAAAGGCAGACCAGAGGAGAAGGACAATGCCAGTAACCAGGGATAAAGGATAAACTCTCATACTTGTACATATCAACAACTTAATCCAACTTAGCCATTCTCTCTCTCTCTCACTCTCTCTCCCCACCCCTCTCTCCCTCTTTTCCTATCCCTCCCTCCCTCTCAAAGTGTTTCTTCAGTAGTGGACATTTGCATCAGAATTTCACTTCATAAGAACATGGTTCCAATTTTAGGTCCAACTTTGATCCAGGCAAAGACGTCTTCTACCAAGAAAAGAATCAAGATTCCATTCAGAGCTATTTTAAAGAAAGCGTATGTTTCCATAATACAGTACAGTCTGCATTTTGATATATTCTTGGACATAGGCTAAGGGTGAGTTGAACATCTTTTATGAAATGAAGTAAATGCAACCCAATTGATGGTCCATTTAAGTCAAGGTCAACCGGCAATCTCAATGTCAATAATAGGCAGCGATCAAGAATTGTTCTAGGCAACTGTGAAGCAGAAACTCCAGAGGATTATAAATTATACAGGGGGTGTACAAGAGAAAGAGCAGCTTTCCATAAAATAGATACTTTCCAGAGTTGTTAGGATTGCAATTCTTAGGATTTTCACCCATGATGTTCCAAGCTGGGAATGGAAGCTGTAGTCCCAATGAATCTGGAAGCTGGAGAATTAGTGAAGGTTGAAACAGTCTTTTTTTCCAAACTCAAAATGTCAGCATTGGGAATCCATCAATGCTGTTGACAGAGTATAAATTCAGGACAGAGACCTTCTCAAAATACATAATTTATATTGCACTATGTGTTAATTCCCATAGGCTTAAAATGGTATTAAAGGAGAAACTAGTTAACTTGATGGAACAGAAATAAGATACCCTTTGAGATTAGATGAAATGAAACCTCTCCTTTTCAGGTATAGTGTACTTGTGAATACCAATATCTGAAGGCAATAGCCAAGGAGACTTATTACCTTTACACTCTGAGTAGAGTCTAACTATGGAAAACAGAAAGCTTACTTAGTTGTATATCTAGCACAGAAGATCTAAATGAGCTATTATAACTCTTCTTGAGCTGCATACATTCTACAGATCTGTAGCCAGAAATCATCTCCATGCTTTACTAGACGGTAGAATTTGGGGGGATTTTTCCCCCATGTATCAGGTAAATGTCATGATCTGGAGTCTGGACATGTTACATAGAGTAGTCCCTAACTGAGGGTGAGCCTGACTTTCTGATTCTCTCACCTTTAGCCAGTAACAATCTGTGGACCAAAAGACAGTGGGAATGTCAAAGCCTCACTAATGAAAATGCAAAGATTGGAAGCAGGGATGTAGGGTAGGGAGGGGGGGGGAAATCTCCTTCCTAGATCTTGGGTAGCTGGATAATTTGGATGCTTATGAGATGATGCCCCCCCCCCCCACATCTCAGCTGGCATTGTGGGAGCTCCCAAGACATACCTGGAGCAGAAGTAATGTTTTCCCCATACATGGTACTTTATAGGAGCAGTCGCCTGACACAATATATTAATGAGATTTTATATTCAGAGGCTTCAAACTGTTTGAATGTATTCCAGGAAAAACTGTGAGAAAGGTAAGAATAGATAAGTAAAATTCCATCAGCTGATTAGTGATGATGATGATGATGATATTATCCATTTAGCTGTGCCCAAATCTTAGCAAGTCTATCGGCCAGACTTCTCCACATCTTCCAATCTTGCACAACTTTGAGTTTTTCTATGCTCTGGTTGGTGTTAGTTTGATGGTATCCAGCAACCATGTTCTTCAGTGGTCTGGTTTTCTTTTACCGCTAACTCCTCCCAACATGATTGCTTTCTCCAGTGAATTCCCCCACATGACGTGGCCAAAGTAAGTGAGACACAATTTTGTGATTTTTTTTTCCTTCCAGTGACATGTCTGGTATTATGCACTGCACTAATGCTTGCTGGTCACATCTGATGTCCAAGGAATGATTAGCGATATTATTACAGTAAATTATTTATCACGTGGTACTGTACAGAATTATGTACCTCAAGGCAATCGATAAGTCCTTAACTTACCATCAAAAATGGTAAATGCCCTGATTTCTACTCAGGGACAGAAATGTGCAAGATACCCAATTTACATTAGAGTACCACAAAAAGAGAAGTTGCTATATCAAAACAAGAATCCATACGAAGACAAACACGAAGGCTCTTGGGCAGGAACTCCCAGGTAATATATATTCAACCACCCTTCAGCCACTCCTAGCCAAATTAGACCCTTGACCGATTCTTTCTGGGAAGAACAATTCCCAGGAGGAAAAACGTCCACTTGCAACAGGTTGAGGAGAGGCGATCAAAGAAATTCTGGATTGAGAGAAATGATATGCTGAGAGAAAAGGCCCAAAAAAGCAGCTTTGATTTCCAAAACAAGGAAGATACTTTCTGGAAGGAAAGTAAAATAGGGAACATCCACTGAACTACATTACAGCCAATACCACACACGGGAGAAGAGATTGTGAGCAACGGGTCTCTACAGAACCCCTTTTCTGGAGCTCATACTTGCTTCCCAAACCACTTGACAAATCTTGTAATCCATGGAAATAAAATGCCATTGTGGATTACATCGTGATTCATTCCTTTTTTACTGCAACGTTCTATGGCAGCTGAGCTCAGCACCATTCTTCTTGCTTGACCTGGGGTGAATTTTCCCTCCCTTCAGTGTTCTTCTTCATACCCCGAAGGGAAGGTCTCAGGATTGAGACACCTAAGAGACACCCAACCCTGAGACTCTGAGGCAGTAGGCGGTCCAGGTGCTAAGCAAAAATGAAAGATGTATCAGATGATCTACTGGATACCACTGTGAAATAAAAAAAACAGTGAATATGAGAAACAAAATATTGCATGCATAGCACTGTCTCAAACCTCAACAATAAATAATTCTAGATCCAAAATAAGTTCAAACTTTAGAAATAAATATCCACATTAAGTTTTAACTAGAAACCATTCCTGGACTATAACAATACATGGATTTGCATCTTGTTCAAATTTAGAGGTGTGTGTGATTGTGTGTGTGTGTGTGTGTGTGTCTGTGGAGAGAGGTTTTTCCAGGGTGGAATGAACTTGGAATTCCAACCAGCAGAAAATTGTCTACCTAGCAACTCCAGGAAAACATATTACAGTAGATCTGGTTTTGCAACAAAAACCCTTGCACTACAGAATGAAGGTTATGGCAGGTGATCATATGGGTACAAAACTGATCTGGGAGTAGCACAAATTCTGTTTGTAGAGGGGTCCTGCCCATTACTGTATGCACTTGTCAAAGGGACAGGAGTTCTTTGTGAAGAAAAGTAGATACTTTTTTTTACAAGCTGGAACACTTAGATTCCTGTACTTCCTGACATCAGTGATATTTTCTGAAAGGCAGTAATTGCTGTAGAATTCGGCTAGGCAACTTGTGATCCAATATTCATTTCAGATATATTTCCCTGCCTAAACAGAGGGTAGAAAAACCACTGGGAGTGACTTCCAGCTTCCTACCAGCATTCCTATTGACTTTCTTCGTAGGAAACTGGCAGGAAGCATTGGAAATTGTAATTATGCCTGACAACTTAGTATAAAGAGCCAGCTTTATACCAAGTTCACACCAGCTGTAGGCAAGCACTGGCTCTGGGTGGAGGACAATAATTGAGGGGAGATTCAAAGGATCTACCTTGACAGTCTTAAGCATCTGTTTGAAGTAGGCCCCTTGATTTGCAGAATGGGAAGGAAAATTTCGTTTCTGCTCTCATCCTGATGCCAATATGTCCAGTGTTATGTAAAAGATTTACTAACTGGCAAAAAGCATTCTGGAAGGATTCGATCTGGGACTTACGTGATTATTGTCTGCCTGTCTCTCTTCCTCTTGACTTTCTCACACGCATCACTGGATTCTTCTTTTTCTAACTCGCTGAGGGATGCCACAGGCATAGAAGAATAGATAAATGAAACAAAGATAGCTCAGTTATCTGGGCTGGTGGAATTCATGAATGGAGGAAGAGACACATATTTCCTGGCATTCCAGTTCTGTGATAGAAACCTCACATCTGGGTCCCAGTCAGGCAACATGTCTCCCTCACCTGCCTTCCAAGGCTTGGCTCACTTGCCAATGCTCCATCTGATGGCAAAGCTTCCAGGAAATTAGATGGGACAAGACCTTTCTGTCCATTTACTTCCCCCTGCAGATAAAGAAGGGAAATGTTTGGTTGGAGATCTCTTGATGATTCAAAAGCATACAGAGAAAGGGATGGTTTTCCTTTTTTCCTACCATCAAGCTCTTGTGCACGTTCTATTTCCAAGCAAAGTGATATATATCTCATATCTTGGATCTCTGCTTATTACTTTATGTACTTGTCAAAAGATCAGGAGTCCTTCCAGAAGAAAAGCATATGCTTTCATTTCCAAACTGGAACACTCAGATCCCTCACTTTTGCTGATATCAGCAATGCTTTCTGGAAGGCGAACATTACTGTAGAATTCTTCAGCCAGGCAACCTACAACCGGTTGGATCGTCATTTAAAAAATATTTCCTTACTCAAAGAGAAGCCAAAACGACAGCGGGAATGATTTTCAGTTTGCTACTGGCTTTCCCATTGACTTTCTTTGTAGGAAGCTTGTAGGGAGCTTGGAAGTGTCACGGAAATGACAATTACATGATGAGGTTGACTGTGGCCGTGCAGCGACATAGCAGCATGACAGCATTCAAATGGCCACAACTTTGCCAAAATTTCAGTCTCGTGGGAGTCATGTATCCCAGATTTTAGATGCATTCTGTAAGTAAGCCTGTTTGAGGTTTTTTTATTCAAAAATTGTTGTCACGTGATGCACCATTTCACCCAACTGAAGGTTACCATCACACATGAGGCTTTAGGCATAATCAGTATGTTCCACAAGCCCTTAAAATAGAAACAATCACACCCCCGTGTCTATGGAGATTCTCAATCACCCAGGTCATGATTGTCCCAGAGCTGAAGAAGTTTCTTGGATGAGAAGCAAAACCTCTTTCAAAGATAAACCAGAAAGCCTCTTGAAAAGACACCTTTGGGACAATCACAACCCCAGTTCCATTCATAGCAATGCTGCCTTCTGATTTACCAGCTATAGCACTGTTTGGACCATTTGAATTTTTTTTTAAAGAGGCATGATACGTACGTAATAGAACCCATCATCATCCATGGAACTGAGCACAGTCACAATGTCCCCAGCACAAAACCTGAGCTCAACCTAGAGAAAAACATTAAGAACAATAGTAGAAAATCACTGAAAAGATGACAGTTTATGCATTTGCTTATAGATAAGAGATGGGATATACGATGAAGAGATGTTTGTGACTTTAGAGTGGATAAAGAATTACTAAATTTGTTTATACTTGTGATGAAGGTTGGAAGTCTCTCTCTCTCTCTCTCTCTCTCTCTCTCTCTCTCTCTCTCTCTCT